AGAAATATAATATTATAATAATATGTATTTATAATAAGTTTTTAGATTTTATAATAATTTTTATATAATATATATTTCCTATCTTTATTAACTAATAAAATTATTATATTATTAACTAATATATTATAAATAAAATAATATATTTTAGCTAATTCGAAAATTATCTTTTATATAAAATAATGAAATATCCATATTTATATTAAAATTTATTATATATATTTATTTCGTTTTTTGAAAATAGTTTATAAGATCTTAATATTAGTTTTTAGGAAATAGTTTAGTTTCTATTTTTTAGAATTTAGTTATTTTAATATTAATATAACTCAGCCCTATATTTATTTAATTTTATTATAAGAGTAATATATATAAATACTAATATTAGAACTATAATAATAGGAAAGAAAAAAATTTTTATTATAATAGAAGTATTTATAATAGAAGTATTTATTATAATAGAAGTATTTATTATAATAGAAGTATTTATTATAATAGAAGTATTTATTATAATAGAAGTATTTATTATAATAGAAATATAGAAATATTTATAGATTTAATTAAATTAGACTTTTATATTAGTATTTAGTTTATAATACTTACTAAAAGAAATATATTTAATAGAATTATTATAAAAACTAAAATACTTTTTAATATTTACTAATTTAGATATAAGATTAGACTTTAATTTATTATTAATATAATAGTATAATACTAATAATAAAAGCTTAGCTAAAGTTAATAAGTTCTATATAATAGCTAAGCTATTACTTATATTTATAATTAGAATATAACTATATTATTATTTGGAATTATATAGAATTCTAATTTAATAATAGAAAAAGAAAATATTAGAATATATTTATAAGTTATAATATATAAAATAAATTAGTAAATAGCAAAAATTAAATATATAAATAGCCTTATTTTTATAAGAAATTATAATAGATTATTAAATTAGATCTAGTTATCTTATAATAAAAATAATAAAAATATATAATAATTATAATATTTAGTAATAATATTTGCTTTATTATTATTATTATTTTCTGAAATAATTATAATAATAAGAAACTGGCTTTATTATTAGTCTAGTCTTATATTCTTATACTAGTTCTTTTATATTTCCTAATAGCTTAATAGGAAATTACTAGTTATATTTATTATTCTAATTCAGATATTTAATAAAATATTTCAAATTTTCTTTATTATTATAATAAATATATCTTTTATTAATTATATATTCTAATTTCTAGCTTTTTTAATCTTTATTATTTCTTTTAATATTTTCTATAAATTATATATCTTTAATAAATTCTTTACTAAATAAATTAAGGCTTTTTAGTACTAGTTATAAATATATTATTAAAATATTAAAATAAAATTTCTAGCTAATTAATAATTCTAATTTATATATAAGCTTTTTTATTTAATAGAAAATATAAAACGGTTTCATTTTTTATTTTAATAATTTTTTATCTAAATTACCGGAAAAATAATATTTTTAATAAAGTTTTAAGAATATCTAGTTTCTAATATCTATTATAATTAGCTTATATTTTATATTATAGTACTTTCTAGTTATATTATTTATAAAGTTAATAATAATCTTAATATTTTATTAATATAGCTTATAAATAATTTCGAATAGTTTCTATTAAATCTTAATTATAAATAATATTAGATTTATTACTAATTTAAAGCCTCTAATAAATTTATTTAAAGATATTTAAATAGCTATTATATATATATTATTTAATCCGACTTAAAACGAAATTATAAAGCTTAATTATTTTAGAAACAAATATATTATAATCTAATATTAAAAGCTAATTTTAATAGTTTAATTCTTTTATTTCGAGGCTTTATTTATTTAGAAATATTATATAATTAAAACTATTAAAACTATTAATTTTCTAAAAACTAATAATTAGAATAATAGAAAGTACTAAAATAAAGTTTATTATTATAATATAATATAGAATTAGAAGTATTTAAATTAGTTATAGTTTTTTATAAAAATATTATTTTAATATTCTATTAAAAAAATAAGCTAGATAATATATAATATAATCTTTAAGATATTTTATTAATTAGGAAATATAAAACTTATTTAGCTTATATAAGATTTATTCTATATTAA